GTTGTAGTCGAAATCACAAAGCCTTAAATTTACTGTCTGTTCTTCTTTCATGGAAAGGTATGATGTGAAGCACAACCAAACAATGCTGAGATATGAGCACATTCTTGTACGTTTGTGTAAACTTTAGGACATTCAGGACAATTCAGTGAAACAAATACCATTCATTTCCGTGGCCTTCAAATTTCTATGGTTCAATGTGCCTCAAAGTGAAAAGATCTTTCTGTTGATCGATGACGTATATCATGAGGCGCAACCTCCCACATCGAGAAGAAGATCTGGTATGTTCAAGCGTGGATTCGGCTGCAAATTAAGGATCTATGGACCTCTCTCCTAAATTACATGCAGGATTTCCGAGACGTATTGCTATTACGTTCCCAGATCGCCACCACAGGTGTTTACTAGCATTTGTGGATCGGAGGAAACTTCCCTGCCTTGCGACTAATTCTACCGGAACGACAGTGATTCTTCTAATAGACACGAGTCTTGGAATAATTTGGCTAATTAACGGCGTATAGAAAGTCGAATCTCGTAATGGATCACTGGATTACATTTAGACTACTTATAAGGTCCATCAGACGGTGGCCACTAATGAAAGATTCGAACAGAGATTGCGCTATAGATAGCACAAATCGTAAAGACGACCTATCCAGGTAAAAGTGATTTTGGGTTGTTTCACACGATCAATATGGCGTACTTATGGTAACAGGATAAATAATGCTTATCACAGATGCCTACAGTGCCTACAGACCTTCGAAACATTGGAAACAAGTGAATATTACAAAAATATATCATGAGAAACTTAACATGGTAAGAATAGAAAAGTATTTTATCATAAACTTGCAACAGCTGTTTTAGCAGCTTTTGAAGGAAAGCGAAAGTAATGGCTCATCACCATACATTCACAAGCAACATGAGTTTTCCCTCCCTCGTTGTGGATTTTGATTACATTTAATAGTAAACTCATTTTTCAATAATGGATTTTATTGAAGAAAATGAAATATTTACCTATAAGTGTAACACCGTTCCCTTTATACCCGTATCACTTATATATGACATTGCTACTGATATAAGTTCTGTTCCAGCTATGTTTAAGCAAAAGGTAAACCCTAAGGTTATCACAGTGAAGTAAATTTCTCTGCGGAATTAATTACTTGTACACTTCAGCAGACCTGGTGGGAAGCGCAGAAGGCGTAAACCCATGGGTATGAACGCCGTTGTAGAAGTAATACTTCAAAAATACGTCTATAATTTGGCTTTCTAACCAAAACTTTCCCAGTTTTCGACGTTCTTCACCAACTAAGCTTTTTGCTAAAACTCCTACAAACTATCCTATCCATCCCTCTCGATGAGCCAATAACGCTCACCATATCTAACTCTAACTAGCTCTAGAATGGACTTGTCGTCGATCAGTGAGCGATGCGTGAGTGCCATTGACGGCTCAACGGCTCAAGCTCATCGATTCGCTTCTGGCAGCCGCCGGCCTTGTATTGATTCGGCATCGATCGCACGAGAGAAGGCGGTCAATTCAGAAATGAATCAAGAGCAACACCGCATGCTCGTCTCCTTGCTCGTCGATTCGATTTGAGGAAAACAGCGCTACTCCTGATCGATCGGCAGCCGTGGTGCCAGTCTAGTGACGGCAAAAGCCACCCGTATATGATCGATAACCAACTGAACGATACTGCTCACCACATGACCAATAGATGAATGAGCATTGGAAATACTGGCCGCAATCAATAAGTAGAGTTCCATCTGATCCTTTTAAAGAGTATCTTTAAAAACCATACCAGATCGCTATTCAGTACAATACCCACGGTAGCACGAAATGCGCCACTAAAAACGACTGTAGATAAGTTAGTCCACGATGCATTTCGTAACCCATTGTCACGTGAACTATTACGAAACTGCCAATAACCAGTACCCAACGCACAAGCGTACAGAATTGAGGTTTCGCTGTAAGTAAAGACCTACTACCACATCGGGATGGGTTCCCCTCGTATTAGAAGTGATTACAAATGAAACACCCACTATACTCAAATTTGTGCTATCTATGGTAAACATGGTCAAATTAGATGCAAATTACCACCAAGAATCCAATCAGTTCGGTTCTCTAGAAAAAATCGCCCGTCGGCAAATACGCCCCTAGGGAATTGCCATTCAAGTCGAATTAAGGATGTAAGTGGCGATGGTAGCTAGAAATCCTAGGAAGCTCACTGAAGGATCAGGTGTTGATCACCTCACCTAGTTCTCGTTACGATTCATAAGGACTTATTAAGGAAATGATGAAAAGCCATAGGAAATCAATATTGGTAATATTTGAAAAATCTGAATACCAGAGTAGCACAAAAGTACGTGACGTAATGACTACTTGAACGGATCGATGAGATCAAAACGGAGATGATGTCGGTCCTGACAAGAGACTATTACATCACGTAGCATGCGCTGACCTGAGTAGAGCAATCACCAATATCGGGCAGAAAGCCGGCTGTCCGCTATCGATCGGTGGTGGTCAATGAGCGTGTGCGCGGTGTCGGACATCGACAATCGATCGGGGCGGAGCTTCCGCCAACTACCGTATGCCCGCTCTTGGGATCGATCTACTGCGATTGGAGACCGCTCTCTGACGACGACCATTGACTTGAGTTGTGACAAGTGGTAGCCCAAAAAAAAATTAGCGCCCTATCGTTATCGATTACGGTAAACGTGTTTCCGACCTACCGTAATTGTGTGTAGTTACTGCTGAACAGTGTGGTGAAGGCGTAAAGAATGAGAGAAGGGTTAAAAATGTCATGTGACTTTTTAATTGTGTACATTTAAAAATGTGCAATGAATTTTTAAATCTGCCTGTGGTTATACCAAGGATCACTGTTCAGGTAAGACATCGGTCGATTTCCGCTCGGCCGTTCTACTGTCTTCTCAGTACTAACTTCACCATGAAGCGAGTTATTGCCGCTTTGGTAAGGTAAGGAATCCTAGGCGCTCCTTGAACGCACATAGTTCAGTGTCCGAATCCATGATAACTACGACCATATTGTCCAAACCATTGGTTTCGCTGTGGATAAGTACGAGCATAACTATGAATATTCAGAAGACGAACTGTTGACAAGAGAAGCTGCTGACCGATGGACGAGTGAAGTCTACTTTTAGCTTGTCGTACACTTTTCTTACGATATCCTTCGTACCCTCTCTCAACACATAATTACAATACTTTGGGAGAGATAGAAAACCTTTACCAACGATACTAAAGGCACTCCAGCCACAATAAGTATATATGAACACCTAACCCTACGACCTTTTAAAACTTGAAGGAGATCGAACGACTCCAACTAAAACCTCACCTAGACGTGATATACTATATCACGCATTGAAATATGAATATATGTAACTACCCTCTACAAAATCTAAGCAGTGGTTTAATGAAAGGAATATCACTCATTTTAACTACTATGCTCACTACCACACACAAGGACTGATTGACCCCTTCACAAGGATCATCTCCACAGATCTCTGCGATACAAACTCCCTTATACATCAAAACTTCTCCTAAATTATCGTCATACTTCTTAACCAGTCACTAGAATTTTCTGAGAGACTAACCAAAACCTCTTAAGAATCCGGACCTCATATCTCAAGAACTTCATTTGCAGGTTAACAGTATCTTTGAGGTTTCTTAATTGCTTATTTACGGCTTCAAAACGAACTTACAATGTTTCTTCACAGATCCATATTTAAAAATACGCTTTCACCTTTACATATATACTTTCTACAAAGAAAATCATAGCTCTTCCAAAGTAAAAACCACACGCCTTAATCTTAACTTTGATAAACATTCCACGTAATTTACAAATCGCGTATTCGTACGAACTCATCGACATCCTATTCAACTCCTTTCAAACTCAGCTTGTCCTAGTATAAGTCATTTTATCATCTCTGTTCCTTTTTCTTTCATTTTGACGCCAACACAGTAGCTTAAACGCATTAAACGTGCTGATAGGTGGAAACGTAACCAAAGTTCTACTTTTGAATTGGCCTAGTCCGTATGACTTCGACATCTCTATTGCAACAGTTTACTATCGGGCCCACACAGAAGAATATTCATACAAAGTTGTTACAAGAGCGAAGACTTGAACCAGCATGAAAAGTGCAATTTGAGCAATCAACTACTTGAACGTCAACCAGTCAAGCTATATGTGTGGCTCCCGTTTCAATGGAAGGTGCTTTTTGCACCACTACAACAGTGTACATCCTCTCTTTCCATGTGCTTTGCAGAAGCTTTACTTCCTGAAAGAAAAGAGGCCCTTCGACTCCTTCATTAATACCAGAAATTTCAGAAGACACAACGTTCCCTATCACACAACGTTTCTACGGGGAAAGCTTCTGGAAACGAAGCCGAATTCGTTCACGATTCCATTAACGTCTGTTGGTCGACGACGGTTGGAAGACAATGAAATGGAGGAATTGGTTAAACTTGCACTGGATGTGAAGATGGACCACCTAAGAAGTATCCAAGCAGGATTAGACAAGCCGATCCAATGCACTAAAAACTAAAAACTGAAAGATGTGTTGTCAGTAATATGCTTAATATGCTAAAAACATACGGAGAGTCACTGAAAACAAGAAATCGAATGGGATACACAAGGGTTGCCTTGAAAACGAAGAGAGAAACATATAACGGCTCTCGTTCATTAAATTTATTAACCGTCCCTGGTAAAACTCCTTACAAAGCGTTTAATATTACGAACTAGTTCTATACAACAAAGACTTTTCTAAAAGATAACAAGAAAGCGTAGTTGCCACAAACATCAACGATGAGGTGCATTTTAGAACATCAGCATATTCTGCTAAATGAAGTCTCAATCCTCGATGTGTGAAATAGGACCTTTGAGGAAAAAAACGAAAATAAAGGTTTTGCGAGCTCTAACAAACCGAAATTCCTCCTGGTAAGATATGCAGACTGTAAAGATCTTTGTTTCCAGTGAGTACATTCAGTCTACTACGAGTCACTTAAAGTGGAAAAGAGGGAAAATCGCCTGTAAAAGAATGTGAGATACGGTCAGAAAAAAAAACATAGACAAAGATGGCGCAGTGAAGACCGACATGAGATTACCTTGAAAACGAAGAGAGAAACATATAACGGCTCTCGTTCATTACATTTATTAACCGTCCCTGGTAAGACTCCTTACAAAGCGTTTAATGTTACAAACTAGTTCTATACAACAAAGACTTCTCTAAAAGATAACAAGCGTGTAACCGTCGTCAACAGTCATTTTACTGACTTTATAGAAGTTGGGCTACCTATATCAATAAGCAAAGTGAGAACCCTTAGTAGCGGGTGTATAAATGCACTTAGCTTCAAGGTTAGAAGTTCGAATGCTGATGTCTAATTCAATGAAATAAGCAAGCGAAATAAAAATACAAGAACCATTGCAGGTATGAAATAGATTTCAACGATATCGTAACAGATATCATGAATTTCAGCAGTCAAGATTTCTGAACAAATCAAATGACTTCATATATCAATTCAACAATTTCAACTAAGTCTTACCTCAGAAAGCCTCTTCGTAAAGACTTCCAGCTTTATAAGAAATACTTCTTTCAGCATATTAAAATGGCTCACCTGGCAAAGTGATAAGTTGTGAGCAGATTTCAATTAATGCTGCTTCGATAGCTTTACCCCTGAGAGTCAAATGATCCACTTCATTTTGGAATGCCTTGATAAGTGGTATAGCGACTTTACGAGACTCCTGAAAAGAGTCATGACAGACGTTAACCACGTTATTCACTATAGAAGGAATTCAATAATCTTCCGTTCGGAACCGATAACACCCTGGAATAGAACGCTGTAGCAAAATCTTGCAAGTCATCTCGGACGAGTTTCGTTGGGAAAACCTCTTGATAAAAAAGCTTTAAAAAAGAAGTGGCATAACTGATTATCAGAAAATTTATCATCGAAACAAAATTTCATTTCTAGTGACCAATGTTATACTTTGTCCTTTCGCTACAATTCCATTTAACACTTGGTCAACTCAGTGGTAATAATCGGTTATAGTCTGAAAATCGATCAGCGCTGCTCCGCAGCTCACATTTAGATGTGGAGCATAGGCTGGAGAGCACTGACGATGACGGCTATCGACCAAAAGCATGGAGCCGTTCTCAACTATAGTAGACACTCTAACTCTTCAATCAAAAATCAAACGATCCTCATCGAATTCAACAATGCAACTAACGACATTAAGATCGTGGAAGTCCCCAGTTCGTCTCTATATAACCATCTCGACTACAAAAATTCTCGTTTAATATTTTTTTTTATATATTCACTGAAAACAGCTGTAACAATCCTTAAGAAATGTATAGCATGATAGGATAAAAAGCTAGAACGATAAAGCTGTCGGCGTTGATCAATCCCTGAGAGATGCCCCATGCACTCGAATTCACTGATCATCGTAAGAGGTGATTGAACGCATATCTGGCCTGTAGAACGACTGTATCTGTTATAGTCTAAAAACCGATCGGCGCTGCTCTGCAGCTCACATGGAGCATAGGCTGGAGAGCACTGACGATGACGAGGTGGCCTGCCGATGTATTGAGTCAGTGCCGCTATCCTCCCAGATAGGCCTCGTACCAATATGCCGACCCTGGAGAGATAGACAGCTTCGTGAGCTTGTGGCGCGGTGATTGATCCCATGTATATTGCAAGGCGCCTCTAACCAATGCGCTACACTCGCCTCTAGCCTGACAGTTGCGATACAAGTGCAAGGATAACCAAAATAGGTGCTGATAGGTCGTATTTGTAATACAACAGTTTACATTCTGTGCCCTTTGCCAGCAATTCCCTCACTGCACCAAAAAACTAAAATCTCAAATAAACATGAAGATGACATTCGCATGCTAGAATCCTCAAAAGTCGATAAAGGGAGACTAGTTCATACTCTGCTGTAAACTACTGGAATTACCATTAGTGTTGGAGCAATATCTGAAGTGTATTCAAAAACGGTACATGGCAAGAGTATCAGCCACTGCCTAGAAAGATACGTATTTACCAAAAAACGTTGTATTTTCTATAGCTCTGTTGTTCTTTTAATGACTATTCAATTCATCCTTCTAATATATATCCAGGGCGTGTGTAGAGTAGTGGTTAAAAGTAGCCCCTAATGCACACGTGATCGTGAGTATGATCCTGCGCCCGACCCTCCAAGCCTTCCATCCATCCAGGATCGACTAATGAGTTCCAGTTGTCCGAGAGGATATAAGCACTGACTTCATGCACAGGTCGACCACCGCAACTGACTTCATAGTCCAGATACTTATTCAATCACCTCTAACGATGCTTAATGAGGTCGAACGTATAGCGTACCTCTCATGGACTGATCATCACCTAGAGCTTTAGAGTTTTAATAAATATCCACGCATGTTCCAAAAATTACAGTCATAGAGGTTCAATCATGAACTTTGCCACTGTACCTAACAAACAAAAACAGTGCCACATGTTGGTTCTCATGAGTATCCTCAACTTTTGATTCATTCAAGTTCTTGGAATGATTAATTTTAAATCTGATTCTCTAGACTGTGATGACAAGATAAAATTAAACCCTCAAGTTTGCGTAGTTCTATATTGATCATCAAAACTAATGAACTAATGTGATATCACCAGGATAATGTCCCGAATGCATAGCATATGTTTGCTCCACAACCGCGTTCAACGGTTCGACCTTCTTTTTCTTTTTAAATATTTCCACTTTTTTAATTCTTGCTGAAAATGAATCAATATACAGATCCAGAACTTAAAAAAGGGGCGCGTATAGCGCAGTGGTTAAAGGCGCCCGTCAATGTATATGGGTTCGAACCCGCTCCCAGTGGTTACCAAGCCTTCCATCCCTATGGGTCAGCACATTATTACCAAACTTGTCTCGGAGGATAGCAGCACTGACTCGATACATCGATAGGCCACCGTGAGTTATTGTAAAGGTTAGATATGCATTCGATTACCTCCAGCGATGCTTAACGCAGTCAAATGCATGCTACACCCCTCAGGGATTGATCAACGCCGACAACTTTACCCTTTAGCTTTTTATAATTTAGAAGAAAGAGGATGTCTTTCATTATACTAATAGGGAAGGTCTCTGCCATAAGTCTTTCACGTTCTCAATTACTCATGTGCTTAAGTTATACAAAAATTATCAGCAGTTATCGAAAAAACCGTTTTGCTATGAAAGTGTTAAGTAAATACTGAATGTATGCGAATGTAAAAATGAATCGAGAATCCGAATTCAGTGCCAGAAGTGTTCTAACTTTATTCATTAGTTCTTTAGCACTTTTTTTATGCTCCACTGACAGACCCTTCCGCGGATGTGGTTGGGAATGTCGACCGTGCAAAGTTTGTCGCTTATGTGTATATGTCCGCCCCACTCTACTAATAAATCGTAACATTAAATGTATTAAATGTAATTGTAAAGCTTTGTAGAAAAGCATAGATCCTTTTTCCATCGCAATCTCTTTCATACCTACAAAGGCACATCAAAGCGGCTTTTTGACAAAAAAAAGTGGAACAATCTTCTCCCGTTATGAAGTTGACACAAATTCCTTCTGATGTTCAGTCCAGACGTGCTCGAATTTCGAAATTTGACATAAATAGATAATTCTATTCCCATGCAAACAGTAGCATGATGTATCGATCGATTGATTGATGATCGAGCTTGTGGCCTAGACCATCTGCCTCATGTAATAATCCACCACGCCATATACAGCACAGCCACAGCTGGTTCGGAATTATCCTCCACACCACACGCCAAGACCAACTGGTCTAATTACACTGCAAGGGCGACATATACGTTATGACATTGAAAAAATCTTTCCATAAACATTGTACCACACCACGATTAGCAAAAACTCAGCGTCTGAGTGCAGCAGGACATTGGTGACAGACAAGGCACCAAATGTGAATAAAAATATAGTGAACACGTTTGACAAAATAAAGTACAGTCGTCATGGATACCTATACCTCCATTATACTAATTATTTTAAAATGTGAGCTCAGCTCTTAATCACCACCTTGAAAGCAGCACGTCACCCTCCTAGTTCAAAATTGAGGAATGTGAACCAATAAAGTGTACACGATTTTTTGGGAGCTGCCGAGTAATTAACACGATTCCCTGGCGCTTTTTTAACACAAAAAAAGCTCCTGGCGTTGATCAATTCCTAAGAAATGCGCCATGCATATGCATATCAGGCCTTTCCAACGACTCGCAGTGGCTTACCAATGTATCGAGTCAGTGATGCTACCCTTCCATACAGATCTGGTACCAATATGAGGTAGGTTTGGTGAGCCTGGTTCGCGTGATCGAACTCATGTCTATTGCATGACGCCTGCAACCACTACGCTACACGGGCCATTCCGATGTGCTATTTTTTTGCTAGGAAGCTTATGTTAAAGTAAACCAGAAACTTAAAAGATTGGTATTTAATCGGTGGCGATTTATTGAGCAGAGCTTTACGGCAGACTCCATTCTAATTTTTGTAGGCACCTGCCACGTTTCCTTCGTGCATTGTTACGGAAAATTGGTTTCCTTCAAATGATCAATGCAACACGTCGATTCCGTGCTTATCGTCAGGACTGGTAGTGAATCTATTTTGGAATCTGCAGTGATTTTCTTTAATTACGTTCCCCTCTAAAGTTCTTGATATTTCACCTTGCCTGTAGGAGAAGTCAACGTTACTGTTTATCTTAAAGTTCCTTTGTAACCGATTTCCACAATATTAACAAGAAATGGATCGGTTTCGTAGCCAAAAAAACCCGCGAAAAAAAATTTCGACTTCTTAACTGTGGTGCAGTTTGTTTGTAAATTACTTGCCAAGCTCTTTCGACTTCAATTTCAACTAAAAATCGAGAAGTTGCAGTTTTCCTACCATTTCTCTCGATGTTCTTCATTGCTTCGCCACCATAATAGGCAGCCCCAGGTTGTCAGATCACAGCAGGATGTCTACGATTCTCAATCTCTCAGAAACTTCCACTATTTGGAACCGGTACCGATCACTATGTTTATTTACAGTTCCTAAGCGATTTCGGATATACACCGATGGTTCACCGCCTCATCGTGGCTGCGAGGCATTCTTTTGTGTCTGGATGTACAGCGGAGGTACACCTCCCTCAGCAGTCTTCCAAGCTGAGGAGCAGGATGTCTCCATCCGGAAGCTAAAGCAAGAGTAAAGGTATACCAAGAATCACCGCCGCCTTGATATGAAACTAGTTATATGGTGACAAATCACCCTGTGATCCACAACGGAGGCGATTTTCCGGTGTATTGACGACCTGAGGAAGACCTTCGCTAGGTTGCCAACATTAATCCACCCCTGCACAATGCTCCCAGATCTATGATATCATACCATGAAGCAACCGGTGAAAGGTGGTCAAGTCTCAGGTTGCATAGGACGTCACTGGAATTGGACCAAACGAGCACGCCTACGACACACCCACCGCAAATCTGGTTCGCGCTCTGCACCTATAGCATTAGAACAGTCGCCTAAGAATGCGATCTTTCTTGAGGCAGCTGATTGGACCAAATGCTATTTGGTCACAATGTTATCTTTTTTATTTACTGCCTATTATAATTTTTCACGGCAGGTTATTATGTGTGACTCAACCACAATGATGCTGAGATACTTGCAAAACTACGGGCGGCAGGTGTCTGTGGTGAGGAACGAACGCGCTATTGTCCTTTCCAGGGAGTAACGCGTTCACCACCACATCATATGGGTCCTTCGTTTCGCCTGTCTCTCAGCTAGTTCTATCGATCAGGCCATCAGCAATCACCCGTCAACCGGATTCATTTGGGGAACGCAAATCGGCAACGAACCCAGTTAAACTGAGGCTGTAGTCTTGCTATTTGATCGTCTCAACAAGTGATGAAAGGCAGGAAAACCGACATAAGTCAATTAGATGACAAAATCATTGTTATTTGTGGACGTGAACTTCCGTTACGAAATATCAGAAGTGTTGGCTTTGTCGTAACCTACCTAGTCGTCCAAAACGAAATGCTGTCTCCGCACCTGGCCATTATTCGCCTCCAACTTGCTTGTCAAAAGAGAGCTAGTAGTGTCAACTGTTACTCACCAACTTGTACAACTAACAGGAGTGAACTGATCGCGTTTTGCAAAAAGGTGGAGGAAGTAATCCACAACGAGAAGTCCTTTTATGAATTCGTTGCTGGAGACTTCAACGCCAGATTAGAAATGGCCAAGAAAATGAATACAGGTTTGGGTGATTCGGAAAAGAAGAACGAAGCAAGAATGGAAACCATTTTGTACAGCTCTTGTCCGCAGCACGCCTCTTTCATAGAAATTCATTTTTCGAGAACAGAAACGATCGCCGATGGACATGGGCGTCCCTTAACGGCACGGCTCATGAGATCGACCATATTCTCACGAACAGATAAAGGTGCCTAATTGACACGTCAGTGGTGCCTGGATTCTGTACTAGTTCTGACCATCGCTTTCTCCGTATGATGATTCAATTCAGCCATAAGCTGGAAAAGAACTGTCATCGTCCAAGAAAAAAGAAACAAGTTGTGAATGAAGATGATATCCTCAATGAAGTCTTCTCATCATATGACTAGTAGTCAAATGAAGACCCGACCGAGGATTATATGCTTCTTGTCGAAGGACTTAAAATTTGTGCTGAACTCGCCTTAGTTCGTCAAACAAGGAGTTCAGACTGCATCTACCTTACCACTAAACAGTTGCTCAAAAAGAGAACACTAAACTTTGATCCTATGGCAACACATCTAACATGGCTGATAATAAATGACAGCTGCAGAAGATCTTAGTAGTAGGATTTACATCGGTACAGGCAACAAACGTTATTGGAAGCAGCTCAAATGTGATCTAGTTTGAAGAAGTGCCGCCGGTATCTTTGTGACTATAATGTTCCGCTATCCGCCCAGATGAATGAAAATTCGACTACCTCTACATCTCGCCATGACATGGAATTGATGACAGAAAGGTTCTACACGAATGTTTTTCCCTCTACAATCCCCACCTCGGGTTTCAAAATTCCCACTGTTGAGAAACCGCTCGGGATTCTACTCTCTCAAATTCGAGTTCCATCTTCGGTATTCGGGAGAATATACATCAGTGGCGAAACACAGGCCGGTCACATAGTAAGAATAGATGAGAGATAGACGAAAAGAACAGTGCACTCAAACAGAATGCAGGCGTCCTTTTGGTAGACCACCCAAACGCTGGGAGGACGTCTGTGTGGCTTCTCTGTGTGTGGCGTCTGGCTCTGTGGGTCTACCATTTATACTTGCAGATGGTAACGATTTCAGGATTACGAAATGCTTTTCGTGAACGTTAGCATGTTCGAAGCAGACCACCACCATGACGACGACTGCGTGAGAGACGAAAGGAAGTTATGCTTGGGCTTGCATAATCAGTGAAGAAGGTTCATCCATCATCCAAGTAAGTATCCAGAGGAGATCTCTTGTTGAAAGTGTACATCGTTTCCACATTCTGCCACTCATTTTTAAATCAAATAGTAAAATGGCTCGCATTTTGCTTCTGTTCCCTTTAACGTGGCAACTTTAGGTAACAAAAAGTAAACAAGAAATGCAAGCATACGTCATGATCTAAGAGTTCTGGCTTCGAAGTAGTGCGGTAATCAAGGTTTTTTTTCTAAAAATCCTCATTACCATTGAGAATTTCAAAAATAGAACTAAGCGTGAAGTCGAATAACATACAAACTCTTAACCAAAAAAATCTTTAAAAACACTTATAATTTTTTCTGACTCTTCATGATATTGTCGAATATTCTCTAGTTGAGAAAAACTGTTAAAATTATCCTTCACTGAGATATTTCTAAATGCACAGATAATTGCAGAACGCTGGACGATTCTCCAATTTTCCATGGTCATTGTGAATTCACTCGAAAATAGTGCCCTTAAAGAAGGCTTATGGATGAAAAATGTTGTTACACGCAGTCTTCTCAGCGTCACAAACGGTTACTTTTTACAGTCAATTCAAAGAAATTTTAATGCAATACTAAAACAAAGCGCGTAACACAATGGTCGAAGGCGCCCTGCAATACATATGGGATCGATCTCCGCGCCCTAGTCTCGCCAAGCCTTGAATCCTTCCGTGGTTGGCAAATTGATACCAGAACTGTCTGGGAGGACAACACCACCGACTCGATACATCGGTAGGCCACCATGAGTCATTGTAATGGCCGGATATGTCAATCACCTCCAACAATGCTTAATGAAATCGAATGCATGGCGCATCCTTCAGGAACTGATTAATACCGAGAGCTTTATCCTTTTATAGACTTATGATCAGAATTCGTTTGAAAAATTTTATTTCACATTGGTGGAACTTGTTCAAAACAAACGTTAAAAAGTTTCAGAAAGAGAATCCAAATATACCAGTTATACTCTGGTATATCAGTAATGAACTAATTAGTGCTCGGTCTCCCTTTCCAACAGAATCACGCCTTAAGAAAAATTAGTAGTTATCTAGGAACAACAGGTATTGAATCCTGACTTGTTCAAAAACACGAGTGTAAGGAATAAATGACCGCCGAATCTTAACCGAACAAGATAAACGGCGCATCCATTTGTTTCAGTAAAAATTACTGATACTGAACCATGAAGAACCTTAGCAGGTCCACATGAATGGAATCCTTTTTTAAAAAACTTACATTTTTGAATAACATACCAGCACGAATTTTAAGGTTTCTTAGTTAATTCCAACACACTTATGACATACTCATCCGTAAACCCATCTCACGCATTGGATCTCTGATGATGGCTACGAAAATTTCTGCATTTTGAAACAGTAGGGAGCAAATTGTATAGGCACCAACAAATGTGTTGACAAAGTGTAACAAATGTATTTCCCAAGTTCAACAATCCAAGAAGCTGATATAGAAACACACAATAAATAGAAAAAAGACTAAGCTCTCGGTGTTGACCAATCCCTGAGGGATGCGCCATGCATTCCACTTTATTAAGCATCGTTGGAGGTGATTGAATACATATCTGGCCTTTACAGTGACTCGCGGTGAACTACCGATGTATAGAGCCAGTGCTGGTATCCTCCCAGACAAGTCTGGTACCAATTTGCGGACCCCGGAGAGATGGAAGGCTTGGTGGGTCTGGATGCGGGGTTCGATTCCGTGTGCGTGCTGCATCACGCCTCCGACCACCGCGCTACACGCGCCCTTGAGATACACAATACGCTGCTAGTATAACAGCTCACGTGTTCCTCTATAAAAACTACCTTATTTGTGTTTTCGCGATATTTGTTGCTTTCTTCAACAAGTACTTTACGTCGTTCTTCGCCTTCATCTTGTCGTATCCCTATGGCTTTAATCTCACTATCCACACGCAGCTAAACAATTATCGGTACGTTTACAACAACTTGGATTAAGATTTTCAAAGAACTGACTGTGTACCCACCTGTATATCTTCCCAAGAAACGTTCTTCCAATTCTTTAAAATATTTTCCATAACTGTTTTAAAGTTATGGTTGGCTACAGTAATCCATGTACGGGAAAACTGTAAATTATGATAGAACACATGAATTAATTGAAAAGTAAGGAAGAATTAGCCTGAACAAACGCCCTTTCTTTGGATAGACCGCTATGAAACAAGTCATAACTTCACAGATTCCAGTTCCTTCGAAATCTTTAAGATCATCAATATCCATAATGCTACACACTTCCCCGTCCAATTATTTGAAAAGGGCTGTCGTTTCGTCGCTCACACAAAGAACTAGTGAACATTGCCATCATTCCAAAAGAAAATCCGAACTCGGTATTTTCGAGCTCGAACAAGGTACTAGAGAGGAAAAACAGAAGAAAGAAAAAGAGACAGTGGAACAGATGAAAGAGGTGTTGGTAAAGAATGCGACATGGAATTCCCAAACTAAATCTGATTTACAAAATTCGTTGGTGGCCCGTTGAACTCACATCCACCTAACACAAACGTCATTAATATTTAAAACGAAGACTAAGGACTTTAAAGCAACTACCATTGCTAGGCCAAGGCCTGACCAGTAACGAACAAATTTAAAAAGAAAAAAGGTATCTGACATGGAACGAAATCACAAAAGATCGCTTGGTTCCACCACTAAACACCACTGTTAAGGAACATTTAAAAACTTTATCAAAAGAAGGACATTACTGCCAGGAAAAACCACTACGGAATCAAATACTAGCTACAATGGAATACTGTAAAGAGGCAATTCTATAACCATCGATCGATAACTAACTCTCTACAATATTACATCTCCAGTCATTATACTTTCTGTAATCCTTACGAAAATGATAATCATCCGGCAACTCGGCTAGTACCTTCGCTGCTTCGGCTTTGTAATCACGTACTTTCGTTTCTGTAATAAAGATTGATAACCATAGCTTTTACTCTCATTACCACAAAATTCAATAAAATCCATGTAAAGGTCATAGATGAAGATGGATATTATCATAGTTCCGACTATAACAAAGTGTCGTAAGCAGTTTTATGAGAAACTGAAATGAAAAAAGAAGAGATAAACAAGCATCACATCTTTTCATAAGTAAAAATTCCTTAACTTATAAGACGGTACCGAACCACAGTCAATCATCCATACACTTCATTTCCAATACAGTCTACTTCCATTCAGCTTTCTAGAAATCGCTCCATTCTAAGAGAACATATCAAATATCGGACCAAATTGGCCTCCTGCCCAATTCGGCAACTCTTCATCACCACAGAATGTATATCCAGAGAGGACATTTAACAGCAGGCGAAAGAGCAAACAATGAAAGAATAGGAAATCTGGGCATCGTATAGAGTGAGCTACTGAAATCTGTAGGATATGTGACATTGTATAGTGGATTATTCTTTCCATAGGACTAACTAGCATCGAGCTTATAGACTTTTCTCATTAAACGATGGAATTAGACCGCTTTCACATCCAATGAATCAAGCTCTGTAGAAGTTATAGGCTGTTTGATCACTTCGTCTTCCATTTACTTGATTCGGGATATTCCTAGTACCACCATATTGATACCATGTCTGATATTGTTCGGTGAATTTTCATCTTGTTTATCGTGTGTTCAGATTCCACGCTTGTGCGTTAACAGATGAAGAACACTAGAGTTCCTTTCTGAAGATCAGAAACGAAAAGAAACAAGGACATTTTTTGAGATTTAACTGGAGATTGATGCTTTCCCCATAAATGTTATCGAAATCGTTCATTCGTTTTGCTAGTAAATGGGACTTGCAAGAAAGCTTTCACCAGTAAGGTAATGGTGAATTTTGGGGGAGACAACGAAACTCATATACAGCCGCACCTTATCACGACATTTGAATGAAATTCGTTATTGCGATAAGATAAATAACGTTAAATCCTTTTGAAAGCTTGACTTCCAACATGGTTGCCTTTCGTGCAATGTTATATCAGTTCTGTTAGACCAGGTTCGAGAGCCTATAAAAAGTAGAAAGTAACAGGCTAAGCTTCATTGGTTCACATAACATTAGTACTTCTCATGCAACAACCCTAATGTCGATAATAATACGAGGAAGCTCCCGAAAGAGCCAACCTGCATCACAGTAAAACCCGGCAAGCTAGTCTTCGCTATCGAGGCTTCAGGGAACCACAATGGCCAAAGGGGCAAATCTCCAGGAAAAGTAGACTTTGCAGAGATCCGTACAACCAGTGCAGATGCTCCGTCCAAGTATCCAAGTAAATAAGTATGACGACTTTAGAAGCTCATTTCTTGAATTCTGCAACTTTTCCCTGTAATGAAAGAAAGGTTTCTGGAACTGTGAGCAAGCATGAATGGCCTTTACCGTCATGATCAACTCAGATAGCATCCTGTGATGTTCGTTCCATTACAGAATGTAACTGCCACTTCGAAATTTCTCAGAGATGCTCTTGGAGACAAACTTGGCATTGAGGTAACCGATGGTGACCTTACATAAAATACACTTTTCCTTCTAAGACTATTCCACATTAATACATAACGTTTCGATGTCATATCCATCTTGGTTTATTGATTGAGAGCCAAAGAAGGATTGAATGGTCCAAATCCTTCAAACTATAAACATGCGGTTACAGTAATTATTTTTTTTCAAAAGAAGCCATATTCATGACTGAGCTAGTGTTTGCTGGATCCCCAACTCAACCACCGCTTCTTCCTATGCCTTTTCTGAGAAAAAAACTTCTTGAAAAAAACAAGCCTTGCTTAACGAACGGAGTTTTCTCCTCTCCATCAGTATGATGGAAACATACTGATGGCTTCGATGGAGATGAAAATGTCGAGACATTAGCCGGATAAACTTTTTCATCAATCTCGTGTATAAAATTACTTATGAAAGAATATATGATGCCAACATATTTAAACTCAGCTTATATTATTTGGTTCTCAACCAAAGATTTCAATGCTAATGCATGTATGTTGCCAGTCCAGATCTTCTTCATCACCTTAGATTTTGCCACACTAGATTGGCCACAATATCAACTACCTATTTATGCTCATCACAACGCTGTCATATATATATATATATATATATATACATATGTACATATATGATACACACGAATGAATAAATAAATAAATACAGGGCACTTGTGACGCAATCGTCGGAGGCGCCCTGCAACGCACACAAGGAATCGATCCCCGCGCCTATGGCCCCCTATGGTCTTCCGTCCATCTGGGGTCGGCAAATTGGTACCAGAGTTGTCTGGGAGAATAGCAGCACTGGCTCGATGGATCGGAAAGCCACCGCGAGTCAGTGTAAAGGCCAGATATGAATTCAATCACCTTCAAACAATGGTTAATGAAGTCGAATGCATGGCGCACCCCTCAAGGATTGATTAACGCCGACAGCTTTTATCCTTTTTATCACAACGTTGCCATATATAGGACATATATCAGGTCAAGAAAGTTAGGCAATTTATTTGCACCCTTTAGGATTAAAAATACGCATGGATGGTTCGGGATTTCCCTGAAAGACTTAGAACTTATATAAAGTGCTGAGATATTTGCAAAACTCCGGACCACAGGTGTATGCAGTGGGGAACGAACACGCGCTGTTGTCCTTACCGGGGAGCAGCGCACTTCACCACTACACCAGACCACTACCAAATATCTCAGCACTTCATACGAGTTATATTTCACAACATACCCTGCCATTAAGAAGAAAAAGGCAGTAAATAAAAGAGTTGACTTAGAACTTATTTGCTGACTACAATTTCGGATAAGCTACCGTGAACTTTCCAATCGCTTGATTGTAAACTTTTGGCGGAATCGCTCCTAGCCAGATACCAGCAGGGTCTCCCAAGTTGAGAAGGAGTCCGACTTTTCCATCGGGAAGCTAGCTAAGAGTAAATCAATGCAGGGATCGACCACCGGCCTGGTGTCAAATCAGTTGCATGGTGGCAAATCTTCCTCTGATCCACATAAGCTGCAACTGCCTGTGGTGGGGAAGAATTGAAGCAGATTGGTTAAGATGACCTTGGGATTCCAAGTAACCACAATGGCTAAACCAGCAAATCTCCGAAAAAATGGAGATTATGCTGAAGCCAGCACAACTAGTGAGGACAGGCCGTCCAACCGTCCAACTCCAACTGTCCAAGTCATATATACAGTATGTATAAGTGGGGGGGGGGGGGGGGGGGGGTCAGTGGTGCACTGCGCAATACGTGAGACGCTGGAAAGGGTATTTGCAGGTTCCAATCTGGTCTGACCTCCAAATTTTGCAAATAACTCAACATCGTTGTGGTCTGTTTTATTTTAAATAGGGTAATAAAACATATACTGCACATATATACAAATTCATATACACAGAAATCACAGCATGTGAAGGAAAACTAGTGGTGAGTAAAAATTTTCAACACGAACAGTCATAAAGTTCTCTAGCAATCCCTGTTAACGATATACGAGCAGTGCCTAAAATATTATAAGCGAACAAAATTTACCTGGTGGTGGATGAGGACTTTCGTGAACATGCAGCTTACTGAAGTACCCCAACTTCGGGCGAGTAACGTGAAGTTTTTCCTCCACACATGCATCCAACACTTTCTGGACGTCATGACATCTAAAATTGTGCTTATGCAAGGGTTTTATCTCGGACGTAAAAGTTGTGTTCAACGCTGAAAACAGTAGGTACTTAAAACCGGAGGATGTGGTATGAACAGAAATAAGAGCTTGATAGTGATTTAAAACAGCGTACAATAGCCTTGGAAGCCTTCGTTATCAGTTCATTCCAAAAAAATGCACCACCATATTAATCCTAGCGACCTAAAAGCTCGCCTAGTACAGCAATGATAAGGTAAAATATAAATATGAAGTGTTCTGACAAAAAATATGGCCATAAAAACTTTGAAACGCAATATTCTGGTAGCGTAACACGCCTTAGAAGTTAATAAAAACAATGAAGAGTAAATATAAAACGCGAGGAACAACCACCGAAGAAAACTGTTAAGGGTACAGAACAGCCAAGTAAGATGAAAGGAACGACCAGGAGAAAAAGAGATGAAGAAGAAATCATGCCCCACAAATGAATAATATTAACCAAAAATTGTGAAAGAAAGGAGAAGAAATGAACTTCCTCGGAGTACTCTTGCGAAAACTTCGAATCCATTGGGGAACCCCGTTTGTCGAATCTAATAGATAGATAGAGAATAGATAACCTAGACAGAAAAACTACAGTGTAGAACACATCGAAAAACGGTTATATCAAAGAGTCTCGTCCTATGTTTTTGTAGAAGTCTTTCATAGTGATAGAAAACCTTCACCATCCCAATTACTTACAACAGCGAAATATAAGGAACGCTGATAGATTGTACAGAAATTGTAACCTCACCATATCCACATCAGATTTCACTCTATGACAATCTCCTTCATCCTGTATGATGGCGTCTGATGTATGTAGCATCGTGAATTGTAGCTTATAGTCATGGTAACAGAGAACTGTTTTTTTTCATGAAGGAGATTGTGCGTAGAGTAGTGGTCGGAGGAGCCCTGCAATACACATGAGATCGATCCCCTAGCCTCAGGCTCACCAACCTTCCATCTCTCTGAGGTGGTACCAAACTCCTTTGTGAGAATAGCAGCACTGGCTCAATACATAGAGAGGCCATCGCGAGTCATTTTAAAGGCCTGATATGCATTCATTCACGATGCTTAATAAAGTTGAATGCATGGCGTAACCCTCAGGAATTGATTAATACCGTGAGCTACATCCTTTGTCCTTATAATGAACGAGATCAGGGTGTGAAACCAATGTTCGTCGCCTTGTTGTTCGGAATGGTGCCAGAATTCCATGGAAAAAAAAATGGGAAGGAACTTTTAACTTACTCAATTCGACTAAGAACTACGGAATGAGTTAGCAAGGTAGGAATAAATATTCTATAGAAACTTCCTTTCGGCTCATAAAGAAAGCAAAGAGTTTATCATTAATAAGCAAAGTAATAGACACTCAGTCTAAGAGTACCACTACAAAATGTTTGGTATGTTTACTAAATAGGTAAACAAAGTATACAATCGTAGATAACTCACTTGCTCATGTACAGCTTGCTACTCCCTTGATCTATACAATTGGCTAGCTTCTCGGTTTCATGAAAGCACGACTTCTTCAAGGATTTGAGGAATTCAACACCACAAGCAGTCACAATAGCTCCTGTCAATGATGTGATATGATTTCGCAAATTTGTATACATAATAGTCCCAACCAGATTCCGGACTACTGATTAAGATTCTTGCACTACCATTATTCCCAATGGTTTCCCGCCTTATCGTGACCAGGAAGTGTTCTTGGGTGTCGGGCTGCGATGTACAGCGAGGGATTCATCTCCACAGCAGGACTTCCCAAACTGAGCAGTCCGACTTTTCCGTCATCAACCACCGTCCTGCTATCAAAATAGTTGCACGGTGGCAAATCTGCCTCTGATCCATAACGACTGCCACTGTTTGTGGTGGTGAAGACCTGGGGCAGACTTTGGCTAGGATGACCTCGAGACGGCAGAGAAGCACAATGGCTAAATCAGTAAAAGCTCCGAAACAATGGAAGTTATGCTATGGCCAGCATATCCAGTGAAAACGGGCTATCCAAGAATCAAAGTAAGTAAAAGTACTATCACACCATTTCATCACAAACTCAACCCCTATCTATGACTTACTGTTCCTGTGCATGGAATTTACATAAACAACACTTCCAAAAGAAGGTTTCGCTAGGACAAAGAACGTACTCACTAATACTTACACTAGAGAAAATAGTAAGTAAAGTATACTTATGGGTATAGAAAGCTCCTAGTACGCACATTACAAAATCCATGTTTTAAAAAGCTTCGGATGCTTCAAACAAACAAAAAAGCCCCATTGTGGAATCCGTAAGTTAAGAGTTCTGCTCCTACAATCCAGGAAACATCCTACCTTCCTTAAGAGTCTTTCGGGGATCCTGAAGTTCTTTGCGACGTAGCATGAACTCCTAAAATACGACTTAGTGTGGGTGTACCAAAAACCTTAACGTGAAAGGTTACATGATAAAGCTTGTAACCAGACGCTAACGGATAGAAAATTCTGGAAAAAAAGAAAGAAAATAGTCACATTTATCTCATTTTCACAGTGTTTTGCCATGTAAAGTGAAACTGCTTTAAGCCAAGGAGTCGATAGGGTGATCTCTTGAGGAACCGTTAGTTCTTCATCAGTTGGCATCTTCGTGTCGTTTGTTAACGCCATTTTAAGTCCCTAAAATAAAGTAAGAGTGGCTACAATGTACATTTTAAGGACTTGTTTAGAACATTTAAGGTAAAACCTTAACAAAGCAGTAAACTTCGACTAATGACTTTAAGGAAGAACTTAACTGGTAAGCGAATTCCCTTAACAAGGTTCATGGGGAGCTTAAGAGTCAACTTATCTAGATGTTTAAAAGAATAATTTGATACAAGTGAGAGTGAAGGAAGAGATTGATCGATATCCACGTAAACATCGAAGTGAAACGACTCAGATCATAAAAGGAGTAACTAACCAATATCAATCAATACCAGAACAAGAATAAATATCAAAATTACCACTAAATGTCAGCTTTTTACTACATACAAAAGTAATACTGAAGCTCCAGATGAACTACATCTCTGCAGATTTTCATAATTGAGCAAACATTCCACTATTGCGGGTATTAAAGTTATTCATAAAAATTTCCACCAGCGAACGAAAAGTACAAATGTACGTAAGAACGTTAAATACCCAATTATAGTACAATTCACTACCCTACTAAGAACTATATGGTTCCTTTTTAATGCTTCATTTGAAGACGAAGCTATACTTTTGGAAGCGCAAGATTAAGCCCTTATATGCAGCTTCGTAAAAAGTGTGTAAGCTAAATATTAAGATGTAAATACTGTCTTAAACAGAATTAGGAACTATTAGAGCACATACAAGAGATGGCAATAACTTGCTCTACTGCTATAACCGCGACGTGTAGGTTGCGTATAACGGCGTAACTTCCCAGTTGAGCTATTTATCAGGCTTACTACACGTTACGTTGTTCCGTTATCCAGCTTCGTTTCGTTTTATTCCGTTCTGTGTGTTTACCTAAATAAAAGGTTACGTTTTGGCAACTTAAAAGTCCTCGAAAGAGAGATTGAGGATACTCCGGATGGCCAGCGGCGAATCAGCGCCGGCAGCTTCGAGCGGACTGGTTGTACCGTTAGTAATTTGGGGATCGAAACCGCCGGACAACAAGATTACAACCGCTCGCTATTTAAGCGATACGGTCACGGTTGTCACAGGTACCTGTTTTCTATCTTCCAATCCATATTCTCTGTAATCGGCAATTGACTAGACGTTGTTACTCTACTTCTATGAGGTCCATGTGGCCTCTTATGGATTCTGGTTGGCCGTATGGAGCCTTCCTAGTTTACTGGGGGCTTCATCGTTGTTTTCTTTTCTGCTTGATCAGTTGGTTTCAAGGCTTTGTAGTCTCAGAAGGTTATTGTCATTATGTATGCAATATGTTTCCACGGCGCAGGAATAGCGCAGTTGTTAGTGATTCAACGGATCAAGAAACAAAAGGGGCTGGTTCGATTCCTGTCCCAACGCTGCCCTCCATTCCACGTGGAGACGCCTTAGCCCGGCTATCTCCAAGGTTGCAAGGAAATTTTACTCGACCAACAATTTCCGGCATCCATAAAGAAGGCGAAATCCTCATGCAACAGCCGAAACAACATGAGAAATGTTCGAAGACCAACGCGGTGTATGAATGCGAGTTTGACTAGCTATTAAATTTTACTTTTTCTTACCTTTAAAATAGTTTCATTTCGATTTTGTGCTTGTTTTATCACTGCATTATCGTCACTACAGGTGCCCAAAATGGCCACATTATTACCTGGAAATGCAGTGACGATGCCGTGACACCCTGTCAGCTGATGATTGGTCATGACGCTGCTATAACGGCCATCTCACCCATCTGCAATTTGTCCTCATCAACGTTAGTTTTAAATTTTGTATTGCTTATGTGAACTATAATCATGTAAACTAAACTAGCTGAGAGGCAGGCGAAACAAAGGATCCTCACGGTGTGGTAGTAAACACAGCATCCGAAAAGGGTAGTAGCGTGTTCGATCCTCACCGCAGACACCTGCTGGTTCGGAGTTTCGCTAACATCTCAACATCATTATGGTTATAATCATGCAATCTTATAACGGTAAATGTACTTTCGTATATGTATCAGACTTTTTTACGCGACTATATACTTTCAAATTTTAACGTTTTATTTACTCTCTTTTTTACTCGGCAAGATATTGTGTGGAATACAACCACAATGATGCTGAGATATTTGCGGAGATTGGACCGAAGGCCAGAGACTGATTGAGAGAAAGGCAAGGCAAAAATCACAGTGGTGTAGTTGGTAACACGTAGGCTTCGGAAAGTGTAGTCGCGTGTTCAAATCTGGCCCGGGATCCAAGTTTTGCAAATGTCTCATGCCTTTATGACTGTATGTACATTCATATTTTCAGTATAATAAAATGTGGGTCCAATAGACCACATGATAGTACACTCGGGACAACATGCGTTGGTTTCATTGGATGTGTGTTAGAAAATAATTCTGAAGTTAAAACCGATACAATCTACAGTTCTTTGTCCACAACGTTAAACTTTCATTCTACAAATTTCCCACTCACTGAAGCGCCTGGAGTGTTTTTCTTTTTCTGTTGTTCTTTGTTGAGAACTGTATTCCAAGCACCGAAGCGACAAACCAGTTGGTTTTTTCTATGAAAGCAAGCTATGGTTTCCACCAATGCATCGTTTCCCCTGTGACTCTTGCATTTCCGTTAAAACTGTTAAAATTTCAATTTGATTTTAGAATTTTTATGGCTTTTGGTTTCTGACGAGTTCGTAATTGAAATAATACTTTAGAATAATCATTTGTTATTCTGAGATGATAGTTCAAAGCCTGTCCTAGTTTATTCTAGTTATGGGGAAAGTTATTGACCATGGATCAGTTTCGTTGGGAATGCGTTACGTATAGTATTCTCGTATCTGTTTTCACACTTTTCCATACCGAACTTCTCTTTAGACGGTTTATTTCCGCTTCTTGCGACGGCCATATGTGCTTGTGGGAGCTAGAGGATGGTCGGTGCATCGATTCGATTTCCTCGTCATTGGTTCATCGATTTATGCAAACATATGTAAGTCGAACAGTTTAGGTTTCCTAAGGTGCTTAATTATGGCGGTTAATTTAGACCTACAAATCATCGCGTCATACTAGATCCACTCGGCTATTTTGTGTGGGGGATTATAGCGACATTGTTGTTATGGATCCTAACGATCTTGCAGTTGTATTTAATTTGAGTTCCAGGTAGGTGGAAGTGCTTTTGTTTTAATAAAATGTTCAGCCAAACGAGGTAATGTCCTTTAGAGTCGAACCAGATTGGATTTGTAGCTATGACATTGTTCGACGAACAAACAAGCTTGAACAGTGCATTGGTATTTCAATGGCGGGAATGATCAAGATTTGGTCATTGGTGGAGCTGGAAAAAAAGGTATAATGAAGATTTTCATCACGATTGTTGTTGTACGTTTAGAGGGAACTTTTATATTTAATAGACAACCGAATCATCGATTCCAACAAGCTTAAATTGATCGGTGCAGCATAGCACACTGGGTGATAACTGGTCGTAAGTGAGGGCTAAGCTGTGTAGAGGATGATCTACATATTCGATTCCATTCGATCTATAAAAACCGAGCATATATACTATGGCACAGATCTATCCTTTTTCTTTGCTACCGTTTTCATTCGCAAACGTTCGCATTCTGAAATATTTGTAGATCCTCTTGGTTTCGGTTAGACCATATCACGAGTGCTAAGTAGCAGTCTAGGTTTTTCCGCACCCTACTTGCATACCAAGACGCGAATGTAGCGCAGTGGTTGGAGACGTGGTGCAATACACATGGGATCAATCCCCGCGCCTAAAGCTCACAAAGCCTTCCATCCGTCCGGAGCCCGCAAATTCGTACTAGACGTATGTGGGACGATAGCAGAACTAGCTCGATACATTGATAGGCCACCGCGATCCATTGTGAAGGCCATATTTCCATTCAATCACCTCCAGCGGTGCTTAATGAAGTGGAGTGCATGGCGCATCTCTCAGCGATTGATTAACGCCGATAGCTTTGTCCTTCATCCTTTATGTCTTTCATAACTTTTACCCGCTTTTCTTATCACTATTTCCTGTTTTCAGTAACCATTCAAAATTTTTTACATAGCTTTCTTACTAACGATCTATCAAGTGCATAATTCAGTCCATTAGCTTGTAATTAATAGTTCAGCATTCCTCCTTGTCACACACCACTTCTTCAGGATCTTGCAACACCTTTGTATGAAGACGAATCTAAAAGACTTGATCTTCGAGACGTTAAATCAGTATCATTCAATGCCGTAAATGAGCGCCTTCTGCTCACCGTTTGTTCAGACGCTTTTCATGCAAGTTTTTTCCCTGAATTATAGTAATTTAAAATTTTCAGGTACACTGTAAAAAAAACTGCAAATTAAGTGTATCTTTAACTAACTGACTAACAATTAACTTTAGTTTTTGTCTTCCCGCTCTTCAGTTCCTCTTGAGCATGGCATTCAACGAATGCTTTCCTGTTCTTCCACCACTTTACGATTGTTGTCCAAAGTGCTTGCTTTCTGGAGGATAACGAAGGTTCAGTGCAGCAATGTGTAGAACATTTATGTAATAGAAGGATTGGGCGATATTACTGGATTCTTATGGTTTTAATGGCTCGTACTTCCAGCTTTTATCGAGCACACCATTTCCCAACAAACTTCTTTTCGGATATCATGGGATAATGTCCTCTTATATTTGTGTATGGTTGATGTCTGCCTATTTTTTTGTATCTAGCATTGGATTTTGAGGATTCGTCATACTCAGTGCCACATCTATTATTCCTCTTCTTCGTTGTTTTTTTCTTTCGAAAGACAAAACACTTTCAGATGATTGATCTGGATGATCTTTCCATCGCCATTAGTCACGAATGTCCTGTAGCAGCAGTTAACGGAAAACTTTTGGACGTTGACAAATTAGCCGTCACTTTTGTGGATCAAACGCTGAGAATCTACCAACTGCCACCGGAGTGACATCTTATTGAATTATTTCCTTCTATCTCCTCAATCGACTTGCATTTTTTTTCTGCATATTCTAGGAAACTAGAAGGTGCTCAAGCTAGGCAGTATTTTGGCGTGGATCCTAGAAACTACTTTGGAATCTCAGTGCCGTTCGAAATTGCAATGCTAGATCGATCGAAGTCAAATCCTCGTTCGGTATCTTTTTTTTTCTCTTTTGTGTTCACATAGAACAATTGGACTTTTGGTTGCGAAAACTTAAATGGAACGAATTTTCAGTGGTTGCACGACGTCACATTTTCATTCGCTAACCAGGAGAACAACCAGTCCTCGTACCAAGTGGCACGTGCTACGCAGTCAGGGCAGCTATTGATCTGGAAAATTCCACAGTTTGACAAAGATTTTTTGGCAAAGTTCACATCTGTCACAAGTTTTCCGCTCAGTTAGTTGACACACTGTATTTGTGCTCAGAGCGTTTATTTTTACACTAGGTCAGTTTTTACAGAGTACAAGGGGAACTATGAGGAGAGCCTGGGATCAATATGGGAAACTCTTAATGGAGACGATAAACCCTTGCTTCCCGTCTTGGTCAGTGGTCTCTAATTGTTTGCAAAAATGGTACAAAATTAATTGCGAATAAAACTTGAACTTCTTCCGTAGTTTTGCCAGTGTCCCGACACTACTATTCAGTGAGTTCGCATAAATATTTTGCTAAACTGGGAGGATATTAACCTGGAATTTTTTGGTGCCTGGTATTTAGGAAATATGTGAAGTAGAATGCAGACTGAAGCTTACAGATTATTCCTGCAGATATTGTATTCATATATATATATTTATATATATATGTATTGATTTTATTTCGGTACAAACGGAATAGCTTAATGTTGGTCGAACATTTGGACGGGATGGTCATTGTGAATCCTTTAGAGAAAGTACAAATGTTTTGAAATGGAATGTGTCAGAAGTAAATGGTAATATAAAAATGGAGGAAGTGTATGTGTGCGGATTCATCATAACAAAGTAATTTTAAACATCCTATGAACTGCTTAATGTTCACACCCGTAGTTTTTTGAATGAACGTTTTGCTTGATGGGCTTCCTATGCGTTGTTGAATTCTTGTTGGGTTTATGTAGTGGAAATACAATGCATATTGGGTTAATTAAGTTGACGAAAAATTTCAATGCTTCATCTGAAGCTGTGTTGGTAGGATAGTTCTTCTACTTAGAAACGGTGCGATGCTTATGTATAAGTCTGCATGCAAAGTTTTTAGGCTCTTCCTTAATTCCAAAGAAATTGGATGGGTAAAGGACAGTTTCAGGATTCTGGTGACGTCACATGCTCACTGTTCGTAAGTAGTCAAGGCAAACTTCTCATAGGTAGAGCGGATGGGTTAATTGTACTGACCAATGCATGTGAGACCTTGTCATGTCACCTACTAGAAATGCCGTTAGATAAGCCAGCAACTCGCAAATTATATGGGCATAAAGGAAGGGTAAGGTGAGTTCTTCCGTTTTGCAACTCCGCTATTTTATTTTGAAAGCGGGAAAAATTCAAGGCAGAGTCATGTGTACTATACAATCCGGCATTTTTTAAGTCTTTCAACCCTGTAAGTGTACAATGTCTACTTTTTATTTTCTGCCTTCTATCATTTTTATGGCAGGGTATTAAGCGAAATACAACCACAAGATCGCTGAGATATTTGCAAGACTCCTGACCGCAGGTGCTTGCGGTGGAGAACGAACGCGCCATCCCGTTGACGACTGATTGGTGACGGCACAGATCGATAGCACTAGTTGAGAGACAGGCGAGACGAAGGACCCGCGTGGTACGGTGGTGAACGCTTTACTCTCCGGAAAGAACAATAGCGCGTTCGTTCTCCAACGCAAGCAACTGCGGTCAGGAGTCTTGCAAATATCTCAGCAATCTTGTGGTTGTATTTCGCTTAATACCCTATAAATGTATGTCATTTATGTATGTCATCACGTAGATTTCAGCAACCTTTTCTATCCCCATGAGCACCACCCACGTTTCGACCCGCAGGTTTTTTTATCTGGCGCTGACGATTTTGCCATCATCATATGGAATATAGTCACAGGAGTCCGACTATATCGTTTTAGCGTACATGGTGGACCGATTCTTCGCTTTCTTATTCCGCCTTCTAATACCAGTGTATGTTTGTCGATTAATTTCCTTTTTTTAGAATTTCAATTTTATTAGCAAATGTGACCATTACTTAGGAGAGGAAACTGCACGCAGCATAGATTTGTCAAAAAGTGTGTGGCAGTAAAACATGTGCTTATTGTTTTTTTCATGTTATTTCATTCTTCGATTTTCATTGACACCGGGCCATTAGCAATTTAACCACGTACTATCATAAATTTGTTACTTAACTTGAATTTATCGCCATGTGCGTCATCCACAATTTGTGTGCCTGTATTGATACGTCCACTGGAGAGCTACTTGTACTTTTACCCTTTCTGCTCCGTATGAATATTATAGCGTCCATAGCGGTTTGGACCAAACGACCGCCAGTGTCCGCATTCGACTTAGTGGATTCCAGAATTTTTTTCCCATCGCAGTTTAAGTATTCCTTCGATAGCTAATCTGAAGCAGATGAAAATTGGAAGGATGAGACCAGAAAAACCATTCTCTGCGTTTAATAATTTACGAAAAACCGTTTTTACAAGAGGCAAATTGACTATTCATTGGTCAAACAATTTATTGGTACTTCATTTTAATCCCTATATTTATTGTATAGGGGCGCGTGTGGCACGGTTGTCGGAGGCGCTCTGCAGCAACATGTGGAATCGATCCACGCGCTCATGGCCCACCATGCCTTCGACCTCTCCGGGCTCGGCAAATTGGTTCCAGAGTTGTCTGAGAGAATAGGAATACTGGTTCGATACATCGGCAGGCCTCGAACGTATGGCACATCGCTCAGGGATTGATCATCGCTGAGGGCTTTATCATTTTACCCTTTATATTTATTGCATAGGATGTATGGGTTGAAAATACCGACTTAATCTTAACACAAACTGTAGAGTGCTTCCAAATGCCAAGAGCAAGGCATTTGTAATGTAGACCATACTAACACATAGTAAATAGGGTCATACATATTATTCATATTTCATAAAACGATAAAGTCACTTGTATAATCCTGTCGGGTTCAAAACACCTCAACTCCTCTATTTATTTGAGAGGTTTTTTATTGTCCGAAAACTCAAAAGTCCGCAGTCGAAGGAAAATTGCTCGTATTGGGTTGGGCTAGCTATGAAAATTAGCTGCGAAACGGAATGGGTTAAGCCATGCTTGTAAATCTTGTTATAATCCATTTATGGAAATGCTTGTCAGTCAGCGTTCGATCGACACATTGCAGTTCGAGCTAAGGTTTCGATTTTCAGCTTCTGATAGCTAAATGTGGCTTGTGGCTAATGGTAAAGCACAAAGCCTAGTTTCATGTGGAATTTGGGCGACACCTAATTTTGTCAGCTTATTCTAGTCATAAGTCTTTCGTGTGGGCCCTTCGTGATCATCGGAAACAGCCCTTGTTTTAGTCGTTTGGGGCAAAAAGCATTTAATCTCCTAGCAGGATTTAATGGGAGATAGTGAAAGGAAAAACAGTTCTTGTAAATCATGAAGTGTGGGAAGTACGTTTTTCCAGTGAAATGTGTTTGGTAAGCTACCGAGAAAGAGAATGAGCCATATCTGTTTCCTCTCGGTGTTAAAAACTGAATATTTTAAGTACATTGTCGTTCACGTAGTGTTTATTTTGTTTCATCTTATTCTATTTCTTTTAAGAAACTCATAAGCAAATGCATATGTGCAGTTGCTGCTGATCACAGTGTATCCCTGCTGAATATTCGTGATATGAAATGCGCTTTGCTGGCGTCACAGCATCCACATCCGGTCAGCTTGGTCAAGTGGCGACCGCTTGATGATTTTATGCTAGTGAAACTCGATGATGGAAGTGTTTACGTCTGGGAGATGGCAACAGGTAAGTGTGTAAGTAATTCGATAACTATTTCCTTTCTCGAGTAATTAATCAGAAGATTTCAGTTTTTCTGCGCCCACATATTTCATCGTAAATTGTTTGCATCAAGCATTTCTTTTTGGAAGAAAATGAAAACTTAGCTTTGGAGCATGTTTTAGAAGCTGAAAAGAGGGTGTCAGTTTAATTCGAAATTCAAATTGTGTAAAGATGTATGGTTTTCATAATTCATTTGTATGTTCCGATATATGATGTAGAATGAATTCAGCAATGTGCATGGTATTGTGATTTGTCAGGATGGGGATAGCGCAGTGGTTATTGGTGCCGTCGATCAGGAAGTAAATGCGCTAGTTCAGCCCCATCTCCAATGCTCTCCTCCCACATGGGACTCCTTAGCCCAGTTATCCCTGAGATTTCAAGGAGAATTCACTCGGCAAAGATTCTGCGACATTCAAAAAGAAGTCAATCTTCAAGCAGCAGCGGGAACAGCACGCGAAATTCTCGAAAACCATTGTGAAGGATGAATGGTAGGGAAATGAATCGAATGCGAGAGCGCTGAGATCCGCATAATAGATGTGGTGTCGGGTCATGTAAAATAAAATAAAATAAAAATATGTGTTGTTCCCGTTTTATTGTTTAATGAAAAAATTGCCCGAAATTTTAGCAAACATGGATCGGGTCGTGACAGGTGTAGCAGCAGAGGAGGTCTTGACTGCTTGTGATGAACAAATTGGGAAAGAAGAGGGTACTGATCATACAACTGCCTCGCAAGCCGTTGTAATTATGCGAGCTTTGCGGTATCGTGGGATTGATATGGTTAGTTCGAACTGTATACTGTAATTTGATGTTAACAGAGCTCTTGTAATGTGAAAATAAGCGATCTTCAGATGAAAGGACGGTCAAATAATCCGGAGTCCAACAATGCAAGGAGCGATAGTCCGCCAACTACAAATGAAATGGGAGGAGTCGCTCTAGGTCCACCAATGTCTATTAATCAGATGCCTGGCTGCGATCAAGGCACACATCTCGTTCAGTTTGAAGTAATCAGATAACTCATTATCCTTACAACATGGTAACATATGTATTTTGTGCCTTAGAACAGGCTACATTGAAGTCTTAGGTTGGATGTCTGATTGGTGGCATAGTCCATCTCGACTCCACTGATGTGGCTCATTCAAGGGAGCGTCCACCGTCACAAACTTCTGAACATACGGAACCAAATGAAGATGCCTTATCGAGCGATTTTTCACGGTTTGTTATTTCTATATCTATACAAATTTTGTGGATTATAAGAATAATGTTCATCTTACCTTAGTTAGTCTAGTGTGAAATATGTTCATGACACTTGTGTTCTTCTTTTAAACTCTTTGATACCTTCAATGTGTATGTTACCTTCGTAATTAAGTTAAGCGCTCGATCATCATTAGTGCAATGTATCATCTTCTTCTTGGGTACTTCGCAGACGAGCTTGTTGTCAAACGACCGATTCTGAGAACAAAAACTACGGAGGTGGAACAAATGCTTAAATACGTGGTTGATCCCCCGATCTGGCGTTTTCGAATAGATGTTCTTTATGCTGTGTTAGCTTGTTTTTTTTTACAATCTGTTAATGATTCAATGGTGTAGTTTCCCTCGATGTTGATTGTCCAGACACTGAGAACCACAACTATTTTCTTGATGTGCTCTTATCAAACGGGCTTTTCTTTACTATATTGTATAATTTTGATTTTAGCCGTTTTAACCACCATTTCGAATTGAAACTCTACCTGGATATTGCTCGTCTTCTTCTATCGTTGTTACACGGTTGGAATTTGGATACAGACCTCGATGCTGTTTGTCTGAAAAAGCTCGGACTCAATAAGCCTAAGCAACAATTATATTTTGGAAACATTTCGCGACATGGTAAGTCGATCTCTGTCTCACCTTCTTCACTCTTGGACGGTGTAAAACATCCTTTCCTATCATTAAGGCCAGCTGTCTGTTACGCTTCCACAGCGCATCCAGCATTCGTTTGATCATTATTCAACTTGTAATCGCTGGCAGGTGCGACTTTTTACGTTTTGTTTGCATTTATACTTTTACTGCGTTCAATTTTAGACAAGTCATTCGCTAACAACAACCCATCTGCTAGCTGTAATATCTACTGCGAATACGCTTATGGGAATAAGAAATTCAGCTATGCAGACTGAGTGAGAAACACTTCATTGCTGAGTTATTTCTCTTATCTCATTGCTAAAATCGATGTTGACTTTAAAAGAAATAATTATATAGAAACATCTTTCCAAAAGATGTTTCAGTTTCAAATTAACATTTGTAGAAATGATTTTCTCGTGTGTTGTTTTATCCTTTGTAGGAAAGCTGCCGGTAGAACGAAAATGCCTTGAGATCAATGCATATCTCTTAGTTTGCTGTCCTATGTGCATTGAAATAGTAGATCCGTGAAGTTTTTGGGACATACGCAACGCGTTCTTTTATTATGAGCGCAATATTTTTCGTTTTTAGGAATGTACAATCTCGAACTTCTGTGGCTTCGCAAGCACAGCCGAATAAAAAACTCGTTACGGATGTTCCTTACATCGAAGCGCAGCAATACAAGCAAGGTTCGATGCTGTATGGATTATATATATCAAAGCTTTTTCTTTACCACATTGATACACGCCTTGTACAGAAAAATTTTATCGATTAGAAGTTTTGCTAAAATTCGTTTGAAAATAGGTTTGTTATTTCCTGTTCTACCGCCGCTCTTTGGCTGATTATCAGTTAGATTTCGTTAACATTGGTACGATTTTTTATGGTTTCGAAAGTTCTAGAACGTTAATTAAAAAACTTTTTCAGAGCGAAGAACGGGGTTATATTGAATTAATATTCTCGATGTGCTTGCACTGCTTGTATTTGGATGGTAGTACAGGCTTCATGCCCTCTCTGTCTGTCTGGGTTCCTAACCAGAATCTTATAAAATTCATAGCATCAGGCTGTTAGTGGAAATTCATGGGAAATTGGCTGGTTTGAGAAGGGTCAATATCGATTTTTTAAACAGTACTTATTGAAACGCATCTTTCTTAAGGCAACACGCTAAAAAACTGCGGGCATCCTGTAGATTTTCTATGTGGTCGTAAGAATATAGGGTAGATTGTGTTAACATGTGTGTGTCAACTACTTTAGTCGTTAGAAAACTGTTACATTTTGGAACTTTGAAAGCAAAACGGAGTAATTTTTGAATTAGAAAAAAAACATTTATGGTTATTGAATTTTTCTAGCCCCCCTTAGCAGTGGTTTTCTTCTTTATTTAAATAGCTACAAACACTTAAGGTTGGAGTCTTTTGGCTGCATTGCACTGTGTTCTTCTACCAGATCATATTCGACCGAGAAGCAGTTACGCAGCTCCACGAATAGAGCTACTTTCAAGAAGGTTAGTATCAAGGTTTTTTATTGTCATGATGCTACAAAATTTAATTTTTTACATTGTAGGTGGCAAGATAGTTGCGTTGAAATCCGCGAAGCAGCTCAGGCGTTATTGATCCGCGAACTATCCCGTCTGGGACCAGCAGGGCGCCGTCGACTCATCGAGTCATGGACACCATTTCTTCCGCCGTTGTTGGACCCAGCACTGTCCATCTTTGGTAATCTTAATAAGGAACTCTGTCATTAGGCGTTCCTTATTTTCTGAGCGATAAAGAAACTCATCTAAAATTCACGAGATCACAAGGGACTGATCCATCCCACTGCCATTGACATGGAAAAGACCTCTGCCTCAGTTAAGGTAGAAGCAAACGTGGAAGCTCTCACAGAAATTGATTGCGTAGTACACAAACTTCCTTTATAAGTTATACAACAGCATCACATCCACGATTTCCCCATTTCTAACGATACGGTTTTCGACGTAAAGAGAGGGTGAAGAGGCAAGACATTAGATCGTTTTTCGAGTAGAAATGTTATTCTTGTTGAAAAGTGCTGATTATTTTGTTTCTAGTGTTTCTTGCATAAGTAGTTCTTTAGTCGTTTGACTCATGTTGTAAAGCGGTTGTGTATATTTTTGCATAACCATCACTTCTTTCAGTTATTACCCAGTACTTGTGTGGTGTGGTGGTCATCTCCAACGATGCTTAAATAAGCCGAATGCATGGCACATACCTCAGGGATTGTTCAACGTCTAGAGCTTTATCCTTCATCATTTATACTTTTGTGATAGATTAATATCATTTTCGTATATAACAATCGTTTACAATTAACATATTAAAACTCTGTCTCGGCGTTGATTAATCTTGAGTGCCATACTTCATGAAAGATCATAGAGGCGACTAAATGCATATATAACCTATACAATGACCCACTGATGTGTCAGGTTATGGTTTATATGTTCTCAGATAAGTCTGTTACATATTTCCCTATCCTAGAGAATGGAAAGCTTGGTGACCCCAGGGTGTAGTATTGGACCAGCGATCGATCCAGTGTGTATTCCCAGGCAGATCTAATCATAGGACTACATGCTTTTAAATTAACGTATAATATGCTATCAAAGAGGCGAGTAGCGTATTGCTAGTGATGCCGATCTTTACGAACACGGTGCTGATTCGGTCCCGCTCCGGCTGACCAGTCTTCTCATCCTCTTCGGATCGGGAGATTGGTGCTGGACTTGTCTGGGAAATGTTCACTCTCTGCAATCCAAGTGGGAACGCTCTAACCGGGCTATCTCACCATTCCAGGGAGAACCAGGGAGAATCGAATTGATCAGTATTCATCGGCATTCATGCCGAAAGGAAAACCCCATGCACCAGCTACAAGCAAAAAGTTGAAAGGCTTTTGTAGACGATGGATGTGAGGAATGAATTCGAGAGTATTGAGACTCGGACATCAAATGAGGAAGACGGGTCGTGTAAAAGGAAAAAAGTGCTGTTATTGTTTTATTACAGATATCTTGGTCTCAGAAAGGTTATTTGTGTATATTTTAACGAAAAGATTGCAATATTCAGGTGCAAGATTGCAATCTTCCGTGCCGACTCTTCCACCGTCTGCTCCTCCTATTCCACCAAGACAGAGAACTTCTCCTCCGCCACTTTCTCCTGTGCCTGGTATGTTCGCTGTAATTTCCTTCCATCATCTCTGGTTTTGCTCGCACTAAATTGCTGAAAGAGTGTTTTTTAATCGTTTACAACAGTTTCGTACTTAATCTCATTTCTAAAATTTCGATCTCCAACTGGCTTTACCTAGTGGTTATTCGTCTTTAACATTCTCGCGCTGGAGTCTAGTCTCGGGTTTGTTGTGGACTGGACGATGTCTAATTTTCAGCCTCTATGGGCTTGCTTGTTTTTTTGGAATTAAACAATTTCTTGGTAACTAGAGGCGTTAGTGAGTTTCCGATCTAAATGCTTTTGGTTATACCATTGGGCTCACCTAGGAGAATGGGCAACGGTAATTTAGCCAGTTATGATTATGCCGTTGTCTTCCTCCATCTCTCGTTCCCTCGTAGTTATGCTATTGGTGGTCACCAGATGATATAGTTATGGTGTCGCCAGATCACGTCCTTTATAATGTGTCAAGAAGAGTTCCTTTATTAGATATGTAGGATTTTAGATAGTATTTGTTAGTCATAGAATTATCTGTTTGATAAAGAAATTCTCTGTAATGGCTTGTGAAAATGAATGGATTCGAGAGGACTTTGCTGTACGGTTCTGTGAATATGAATGATATCCATCGTAAAAACATTATTGTCAGTGTTTTGAAGTGTTTTGCAACTTATGGGTCTCAGTTTTATATTAGTTGTACCCCTCAGTACGATCACTATCATTCACCAAATCAATTAACATTGAGACAGTAGTCGATTAGCACCCAAATTTCTGCCCCCAAAAAAGCACCCAAAAATTTTAGCCAGTAAACAATAGTTTAAAGTCGTAGTGAAATTGTTCTGTGTGTTAAAATAAACCACCGGAAAAAAGAGACCTCTTGGTGTGTTATCGGCCACTCCTGCGGAACCACTGCGACACCTATAGATGTTACCCGTCGCGAGTGTTAAAGCGTTGTTTTAATTCACAGGTTTGAGAATGTTAACGGACTGGTATTTTGAAGAACGATTAACTATTATTTCATTTTAATTACTATGGTTATCGTATGGAATGTGCAAATGGAAGAGACCCAACTTATAGTGCAAAATATTTCCATAAATTGACAGCAGTGTATTTACATAATAGACCGTAATAACACATAGTGCATTGTGGCGTACATTCGTGTTCACAGCCTCTAAAACTGTCGAGTTATTGAAAAATTATTCTCTATTGCAAAAAAGCCAATAAGGCATCAGCTGAGAAAAATTGATCGTGTCCCACTGGGCCGGTCGCTCGTCCGTCATGGGCGGAAGTAAACCTAATTAGTTCAAGCAAATATGTCCTTTTTCACCTTACTGTTTTCAAAGAACTACTTGAAAATACTACCACCTTTGCTTTTTATTGGCTACATGAGAATAGGTTGCTTTCGTAAACGAATTTTAACTAAACGTGGAAAATGATTTGACCTCAATGTTGCTCATAAATTTGAAAAACTGCGGACCACAGATGTCTGCGATGGCGATTGAACACGCTATTACTTTTTCCAGGGGTTAACGTGTTTAGCACCACTCTATGCAGGTTCTTTGTTTCGTCTTTCTCTCAACATTGTTGTGGTTGTATTTCACATAAGACTCTACCGTGAAAAATTGTAGTAGGCAGTAAATGGAAATGTTAGCATCAGTGACTTGACTGTTCAGTATAACCAACAAACCGTTAATACTTGAAAATTGGACTGCTTTCGACTATTACCCCAGTAATTTCGTTACCATTAGAACCAGCAACAGGAGAGGATGGGGAATCAGGAATCCAGCAAGTTCGTCGTAATCAAGCAACGGCAATAATTCTTCTTGGAGTAGTGGGTTCCGAATTCGGTGAAGAACTGAACAGGTGAACATTGTGAAAATTGGCATTGTTTTATTAAGCATTGCTGATTATTTATAGAGCAGATATGACGCGTGCTACCGCTTTATCGCTGTTGGAGTTATTAGTTGCTGCACCTTCCGCTATTTTACCAATTCACTCACCACTTCGACGTGCAGCGATTGATCTTCTTGGACGAGGTTTCGTCTATTGGGAACCACATCTGGAAATAAGCAAAGTTGTGCTGGGCCTTCTCGATTTGGCTGGTAACACTGAAAAATCTTCTTTGTGAGTTGGACTATACGTAAAACCTGCTAAGCCAACCTATTTATTCCTCGTTCCCATGGTTCCTTTTTATTGACATAATTTGCATGCACTGTACTATGTCATTTGTTTTACCCTCTTTAAGTAGTCACGGAGCATCTCGTCTTTTTTTTTAAAACCGCCTATTGTGTTAAGCAGAATTCCAAGTGCCTACTTTAGACCTATAGTTATTGGTGCTCCTCTTTCATCCATTGCTGACGCTTGTCGAACTGCTCGACATGCTCTCACCCTTATAGCCACAGCTCGTCCAACTGCATTACTATCTGCATTGAGTATGGAGGTGAGTACTATATTGAGTTTATTATCTTCTGCTACAATGTTTATTAACACCATTTTTTTATTCTGTAGGTAGCTCGCTATAATGCCGCTGCTCAACATCAGACAATTCAACACACCGTTGTCAGTCCATTACTAAAGTCGAGATCGGAGGTGAAAAATGAGATTTCCAAATCATTTTTTGATAAGCAGTCTTTGAAATGATATTATAGGTGTTGAGAATAATTGACGAGCTCGCAGAAAAGCGCTATAATGATGTCATAGAGATGATGTTACCTGTTGGAGACGTGCTTGTACACTGTCTTGATACTTCATTATTGAAGCAGAAAACGCTTGCGGATGTCTTTCCACCAATTACCAAGTGTGTTCATAGATGCTTTATTATTCCTTCGTTGTTTTCGTTATTATTGCTTCTTATTACGTTCTAAATCTTCCCGAATGCTTATTGCCGCCTCTTCGTGGCTGGAAGGTGTTCAGGAGGAAGGGGGACTGCGACGATATTCAGCGGAGGGATTCATCCCCGTAGTTGTGTCTCCCAAGGTGAGAACGAGTCCGGCGTTTTCATCAGAAAGCCTAGCTAGGAGCAAACCAATACCGGGATCCACCACCGTCCTGGTAGCAAAGTCGCATGGTGACATATCTCCCTCCGATCCACAATGGCTGCGACTGCCTGTGGTGGTGAAGGCCGGGGGCAGACCTTGGACAGGTTGACCTCGGGACACCAGGGAACCACAATGGCCAAGAGTGCGAAACTCCGAAAAATGGATGTTATGCTGAGACCCGCACAGCCACTGACGTCGGGGCATCCAGCTATCCAGGCAAGTAAATAAGTGCTACGTTTCCAATTGCTACGAGAACAGTGGAGCACAAGATTTCGCTTAGATGTAAACTTCCTTTTCTGATGATTTTGCCTACTCTTGAGTCCTGTATATGAGGGATTTCGATCCTCATATCCATTGTTCTTGGCAGATTGTTTCTGTTATCGAAAGTGTGTGAATAACCAGGAGCTTGCGCCAATATGCTGGTTGTTTCTATCAGAATTTACTCGCTCTATTGGGAGTGTAGGTAGCGCAGTAATATAGATGTCTTTTACTATATAAAATGCCTGGGTTCGACTCATCGTCCAGCGAACAAAGCCTCCCTAACTCAGCAAAGTGATACCAGACTTCTCCTAGGAAGGAGCTATTCGATCGCAAAAAGGTCTGATGATTGCCAGTGATGAAACTCTGGAAGCACCATGACGCGGCCACCCTAGGATTCCAGAAGTCGACTCGGCCAAACTGAATTCAATGACATTTGTGAAGAAGGTCAAAATTCTCAGTTCAAAACAGCGGTCGAAACCCCGTAAGTTGGAAGATCTTTGTGGATGGTGAATGCGAGGAAACCAACCGAATAAAAAAAGGGGCTGGATCCGCATAATCTGCATATCTGATCAGATCAAAGGTCGGTCAAAAGTATCGGATCAAGAAAAAATTACAAATAAAATACTCTGTTGTGTAGTAATAGTTAGAAGTAATTAAAGTGAAGGTCAAGGTGATTGAACCCAGCGGTTTTCGAAATCAGTGTTTTATTACTCTGTTGCTAAAAATAGCTTGTGAAATTTTTAATCGAAATGCTTTTATTAGCAAACCACCTCAGCCTGTTTATATAATGCATCTATGTTTTGTTCTAGTACCACTCGGGTATATTTCCTGTACTATACCTTCCTTTTTTCGTTTTTTCATCTGAACTATTCTACAGAGAAGAAAACAAATTTAGGTTTCCCATGGTTGCGTATTGTGCCTCCACGCGTCGTATAGCATTTGGTGGTAAAAACGGCACCTGTGTTGTTCATGAGCTAAGAGCAGCGAAGGCACATGTGAGTTACTTTGCATACTTTCTCATTGGGATAATCTTCTCAGAAAACAGTGGAGTGAAGACATTTTTGATTCGTTCGAATTTCTAGTTTATGCTTTTTCAGAGTCTGCAAGCACATCAAGGTCCTGTTACTGCTGTGGCTTTCTCAGAAGATGGAAAATATTTGGCTACATACGGTGGAGAAGATGCTAAAATCAACTTCTGGCAAGCCTGTCAAACATTTTTAGTAAGCAACGAGCTGCATTTTGTTCCCATAGACAAAAATTTGGATGGGCTCCATTTTCAGGGAATGGGTCAGAGTCAGATGAAGCTGGTAAAAAGCCAACCAGCGCCAGCAATGCAACCAGTTAGCCCAGACGATAACGGGATTGTTTTTAGACCAAAAATGGTGTGGATCAATTCGAAAGCATTAACGCTTATGTTACCAGAGGGCCGTGAGCAAAGATTCAGCATATAATCGTTGCGGACCCTCAATCATCTATACCATCTTCCGTTTGCTAGACGATATTCCTGTGTATATAATCTCGTAAAAAATCGATGAGAACTCGTCTCCGGGATAGTTCTACGAGTAATACTTTGTCAGATTCTAATCATGTGCTTTTTATAAATTCTTAACAAATCAGGCGACGATTTCGCTACTTTACTGTGTTTATCACAATAATAGTGGAGGGCTTAGGTTCAGCACTAATTTCGTGGTTATATTCGAGTAAGAAAACGTAGTCAACGAGGATCAGAAACGAACTGTCAGCGATATGTCGACAGTTTCGATCTCTGATTTATTTCTAAACTAGCTTTCGATGGCTTCATAGTCATCGGCTAAGCCTTTAGCAGTAAGCGAATCTCATGTCGACATGTCGCTGACAGTTCGTTTCTGTTCCTCGTTGACTGCGTTTTCTTACTCGAAGAGAACGAGTGGAAATTTGTTATAACTGTCTGATTCGTCCAGAATTTAGATTAAACTAATTACTCTCCTTCTTAATTGTAAGTATAGCTCATATTCTTTGGTCTAGTCGTTTGCAATTAATTGGGTAACAACGTTTATGAATATTGAAATGGAAGCAAGATATTGGTTAGAAACAAAGTTCATTCAAGGTTGTTTGTTATAGTATGGTGTAGAAGTAATGACACTTCATTTCCACTAACGATGCTGACTTACCCAGTCAATTCTTTCCCATAAATTTTCGAAGTTTAGGTCTATTGTTCATTCTACTTTGTTTGGGAAGTTTCAAAAATCCACAGAAACATTCTTGCACACTCATTTACCATTTCACATGTTCTACCATTTTCGCACTTTCTGCCTAAATTCGTGCTGTATGGTCATTCCGAAGTTTTGTCCTGTATTATGAACGCAGTGATATATTGGTGTGCCATGTTCGATCATTTTTGGCGTTGTGGTTGTATTTTTTTTTGATCGTTTGAAGTCAGTTTGTTTGTTTCCTTGATGGACAGTAGTTTTATATCATTCTTAAATTCTTGTTCAACACTTGACATAATTGTTGTAAAGTATGGTGCTCGATCATTAAATAGTACTGTTGTCTGTTTTCGAGGAGCAGTTCTTCGCAGATTTCTTCCATTCACTACGGCCAAATTGTTGTGTCCCAGGACAACTCTATTAGAACTCCCACCGCAGAGTGCAGAGTGCCTTTATGAAGAGGAACGAGTTTTACTGGACAAATCTCGTACCAATTTTCCAAGCCCGAAGAGATGGCGGAAGAATTGACCAGTTTGGGGTTGAACCAGAGACCACCTTTTCATCGCACGACATGAGCTGCTGGCGGCTACTGTGTGAAATACTAACGTCCATTGATGCATTTGATGTTGCTTCCGTGACTCAATTTTAAAAATTTCCGTTGTTAATAATTTGGCAGACTTCCGCAATAAGTTCTTCATTGTGCTCCAAACTTCTTCATCTATTTGTGGGCACTTTGATTCGAAGGTATCCGTTTTTGCGTCGTATTGCAGTGGTTAATGAGGACGTTCGGTTGTAGAGAAAGGGCAGACGTGTTAATGGAAAATGCCAGCAGAACTTTTGTTTCGACGACAGGTGCATCGTCTCTTCAAGATTTTCTGTTGAAACAGAAATGGTACTCAAGGAGTCCAAAAGGAAAAGATCAATGAGAATTGATCGGACGAAGACCACGTACATGAAAAACTGGTCGGTCGTACAGAGAACATATATTGCGTGAATCTATAGCACTTGCTACGCATCCAGTTGAAGAGAGGTGGGTGAGGAACTGGCTCGAACGATGTTTTTCGAATTGCAGCGAACACTCACAAAATCTAGCCGAAATGCACAGCTCACATCTTCGAAACATGTGCCGTCTTCGGAATCCAAGCGGATATACATCGACGACGAGGTATAGATGTGATGCTGACATCATAACAAAAACAGACGACAGAAGGCTGAAAAGAATGGTGAGATAGACTCCAAGAGAATGCAAGCACCCTCTCGAACGACCATCCAGAATATAGGAGAACACATTCGTGGATAACATCAACAATCTGCATTCAAAGATGAGAACGATTTAGGAGTAACTTATGGGGTTCGGAGATGTCACCAGTTTCGCAGCACACCATCACCATGGAAGACAATGCATGAAAGAGAAGCGAATGGAAATTATGCATAACGCGACGCAATAGGTGAAGGCAGGCGGTACAAGTGTTGGGACGGCTCGCTGATATATGAATACCGAGTAGTTAAGAAGATTCGGTCGTATTAGCTGCTCGCCTTTGCCTGTGCCACGTGGGGCTTTCTTGTGATCGGCAGTCGCAATGCTGGGTACCTCAAACTAGGGTAATTAAACCGTTTATCGATATACGCAATACAAATACACTATAGTGAAACACTGTGGTTGGCATAAAAAGGTTAAACGAGACAATTAACATGCTATAAGAGAAACGAAAGATGTGTGAAGATTATGTGCTACTGAAGTGAGTGCTTACGAGATTAAGCCCTCATAAAGCTTACGAGAGGGTAATCTAATATAGCTGACGTTGCAAGGATGTGCAGTGACAAACTTATGAATGAATACAATTGTTCAGTTTAACAGTATGAGAATAAGGGGTTAATACATAAGTTGTAGTTGTTCGAAGATCTGCCGCGGCCAAGCATTAGTAATGATGCATTGGATATCAAGCATTAGATGCGAGACGTTAAATAGATTACAGTTGAGTCAATTGGATAATGAGCAAACATTATGGCTTATAGCGGGATTATTAGGGTTTAACATTGTTCAAGAAGGTGTAATACTGTGTAATTCATGTTCCGGTACGATGAGATATAGGTACACGTTGATGACGTGATACTTAGCCAAAAGATGCACGGCTACAGCAAGCCGAGATTGGTGAAGCAAGAACATGAGTGCTTACTTAACAATATTCCCACCTAATCGAACGGAATCAGTTGCGAAAGAAGATTAAGCTGGAGAAAGGGCGATGAAGAAGAACGACGACGATGTCCACGCGTCGTCAGAGGGCAAATGGCTGTATTAAGAGGCGCGGCTATATCCGAGCGAGTGACTTGGGTCGCGGAGTCACGCCGCGGGTCGCAAGGTCTCGCCTCTAAGCAATGCGTCGTGCCTGGTATTATGTCCGGTGTTGTATCTGATGGTTATAGTTGCCGCATTTAGTGGCGTATCCGATGGTTAGGATAGGATATGAATGTACGGCACTCGGCACCATCGGAACACATAAAGAAGAAAGTTACACCAGAGAACATTATTTTCTATTAGACGTTTATTGGTCGACTTGTCGACACCAAGTAGGTATCGAAGATGTCACCATCAGCTAATTCTATGGTGAAGCCCGGTTAATTCAACGCTCAGCATTTCGAAACACACCCTATAGCTTTTGTATCCTATTAGGCACATTCCATTGCTACTCTTTTTCGCTTCTCAATGAATCTTCCCACGATAACTACTCGGTCCATTCTTCACTTTAGACCTATTTGATATACATCCCAATTGGGCTCCCGTGCTATCCACCAAGCAAAAGAAGCTCCTTTGTCTTTCTCATCCGTGTTTTTACTATGTCGCTACTATCAACAATCACTCGTGAACGAGGATGAAACATACTGACAATCAAAACATTGTGATTCGTTACTGCAGCGTTCTGTGTCGATTTGTGCTCCCCAGATAGATCCCGTTGACGACTGATTGCCGACAACACCAATAAAAAAAGATAAAGCTCTCGGCGTTGATCAATCCCTGAGGGATGCGCCATGCATTCGACTTCATTAAGCATCGCTTGGAGATGATTGAATGCTTATCTGGCCTTTACAATGACTCCCAGTGGTCTACCGATCCCTCGAGCCAGTGCAGCTATCCTCCTAGACAAGTCTGGTACCACTTTGCCGATTCCAGAGAGATAGAAGACTTGATGAGCAGTGAGCGCGGGGATCGATTCCACGTGTGTCGCAGTTGCGCCTCCAACTGCTGCGCCACACGGGCCTTTTATAACAATATAACGATAACACCAATATAGTAAAAAAAGCTGCCCGAGAAAAACTTAAGTCAAGAGACTTGGTTGGTGTGGTGGAGAACACATGAGCCCGTCGTAAGCATAATCATGGGTTCAAAAGCCACAGTTCCGCGTTTTGCTCATATCTCAGCTAGAAGGCTTGAGTTGAAAAGGCAAGCATGGAGTTTTGGGTTCATTAGTTGCTTAATGGCTTTTTTTGAAAGGCGCGAATGCGGCTTTTGCTGTTTCCATTCTTTCTTATTCCTTTTCCCCGTTGTTCTCCACCTTCACTGAACGACCAAGGAAGACGTACCGGGTGTTCTGTGCAATTAGAAGACCATCCAATTCGATATCTTCGTCTTCACATCATGGGTTCTTCATGAACTAGTTCTTCGTCCAGTTTATGGGCAGTCAATATTTTTCTCGCTTGGTCGAGTTCATTGAGAATCGTCCCTGCTTCAGTGGTACTTCTCGAAAATATGACGATGTCATCCGCGTAACGAAGATGTGAAAGAAATTTCCCGTCAATAAGTATGCCTTTCTCATTCCAGTCGAGTGATTTCGTTATTCAACTGTAGTTCGGTAACAAATAGCGTTGGGGATATTATGTCGCCTTATCGAACTCCTTTTTCTATGGGTCTGGTGAGGAGTTGGATAATACCTATATTTTCACGATGTAGTTCCGATAACAATCAGATAGAGTTCTCATGTAGGGCAGGTCCACTGCTTGGTAGACGGGTGCTGATAAGGTCGCCTTGATTTCGGTACTACCAAACCCTTTCGCGTAGTCGATAAAGATCAGAACGGAAGGCAGATAGTACTCCCGCAGACTTCTATATCTCGTGATACGGTTTAGATTTAAATATGCATACCTTGTATGTTATACTTAGTTATAATATTACTTATTATTCATTAGCACGACGGGATGTAGTAAAAGTAGCATCTTCGTTCATCAGAGTGGATCACCTGTATCGCCTATAGTCCTGTTGACCATCGAGT